GTGCTTAATGTCAGAGTTGTTGAAACTTAAAGTCTGTGAGTTAATATTTAAAGTGGTGGATTTTGTGCTTAATGTGCGTGAGATTGTGCTTAATGTGTGTTGGATGAAGAAGCATGCAGCACGTCTAAATGACCAAAAGCGTCTAACAAAACCAAAAGCGTCTACCAAAATAAAAAACGTCTACCAAAACCAAAAGTGTCTACCAAAAGCGCGTCTTCTTGTCCAACAATGTGCGTTGATTTTGTACTTAATGTGCGTGAGTTTGTACTTAATGTGTGTGGGTTTTGTACTTAATGTGCGTGAGTTTGTGCTTAAGATCTAACAGTTAAGGTGCGTGGCTTTCTTCCAAACACGCATTTTTTTTTTTAATTTTCATTTGATTTGAGCCGTTGATTTAGATTTGATCAACGACTCAGATCTAACCGCACAATCGCACGGGAAGCTATATCCGCACATGAACCCTTCCATATATATATATATATATATATATATATATATATCAATGTTGCAAAAAACGTTAGGCGCTAATTTTTTATTTTATTTTTTTTAATTAAAAAAAAAAAATTAAAAATTAAAAATTTTCAAAATTTAGTACTAAAACATAAGGTTTTCATAGTTATTTCTTAGAAACTATTTACAAAAGTGGTTGTAAGATTGTTTAAACCATCTAAATACATAAAAAACTAAAATTAAGAGCTATAGAAGCATTTTTTTGAGAAATTAGTGGACCAAACTGCCTTTGGTTGTTTGCGGTGTATAGATCTCGAAAAAATATGCGATTTTAAAAAAAAATTGTCCGAATCGGACAACCGAGTCAAAAGTTATGTCTTCCTAAACGTTTCCGACATTTAAAAAAAAAAAAAAAATCGCCGTACCGCCGAACCGGCCGGCCGTGTAGGAGGCTGCCGAGGCCATTCCTCGCGGCGGCCTCCTAGCGCCTAGGGGCGATTTTTGCAACCCTAATATATATATATATATATATATATATATATATATATATATATATATATATATATATATATATATATATATACACACACACACACACACACACACATGTATATAAATAATAAGCTAACATAAAATATATATTTTTAAATAATTAGAATTAAAATGGCAAAATTTATAAATATCCGAGGTGATTTTACATAACCTAAGAAAGGGAAGGGAATCACATTCCCTTCAAAATCCTATGTGGACCATTCCCTTACAGCACGTTTGGTTCACGTAATGAATTTTGAGGTAATAGGAATGCTATTCCATAAGGAATGGAATAGGCAAGGAATAGAATAGGAATTGTATTCTATTGTTTGGTTCGCGGAAGGAATAGACTTTAAGAATTATATTACAGTGTTTGGTTGATTTAAGGAATAGAAATGAAATATGTTTTAAAAGACATAAATACCCTTATAAAAATATGTGATGGTGGCGATGGTGGTGGTGGCGGTGGTGGTGGCGATGGTGGTGGTGGCGGTGGTGGTGGTGGTGGTGGTGCTGGGATGGTGGTCGTGGTGACGGTTACGGTTGTGGCAGTGGTGGTGGGGGCGGCGACGGTTGTGGCGGTGGTGGGGGCGGCGACGGTTGTGGCGGTGGTGGTGGTGGTGGTGGCAGTGGTGCTGTTGGGTGGTGGTTCTGGTGGCGGTGGTGGTGGTGGCGGCGGCAGCGGCGGTGGTGGTGCTGGGGTGGTAGTGGTGGTGGTGGCGGTGGCGGTAAAATCTATTCCTGCGCGTTCAGTAATACGCTAATACCAGGGGGGCCCTAGTAATAGCTATTACCTTATTTGAGGTAATAGGCTATTACCAGGAATACTATTCCTGGTAATAGAAATGGTTACCAAACAAAGGAATAGGCCTATTACTGGGAATGCTATGACATTCCCAGCCTATTCCGTGAACCAAACGGGTCATTAGAATGTTAGATTCCCTCAGATAATATGAACCAAACATAGGAATGTAAGCTCTGGAATGTCACATTCCCTTGGTTATGTAATATAACCAGAACCAAACGCCCCCTGAATGAATGATAGATTCTTTTGTTTAGTTTCAAACAAAGGTATGTAAATAAGACTGTAGACACAGAAAATTTGAACCCGACAAGTGGACTGATAAAATTGTTATTGGGCCAATGTTGAAATTGTTATTGGGCCAATTTAATTAATTGGATCATAGAAATTAAATTGATTTAATTAATCCAATTAAATTTGGTTTGGGCTATTGAATTAATTAATTGGTCCAAGCTCATTTCATATTTGAATTTGAATTATAATTATAATTTAAATATAATATAATTTTATTATATTTGAATTAAATAATTATAATTTAGTTTGAATTTGAATTAGGTTATAAAATAATGAACCTAGACTTGATTTTGGGCAAGGTTCATTTTCCTAAATAGTTAATTAATTAATTAATTAAAAAGGATGAGTTTGTTGAGGAATGTTGGTTAGACTTTTACTATAAATAGAGCCTTCATTTTCATTCCAAAACACAACTTGAAGACTTGAGAGCTTGAAGGCATTGAAGAACGCTTGAAGACTTGATGGCTTGAAGATTTGAGAGCTCTTTTGGAGGCATTTGAAGATCTTGAAGAATTAAAGGCATTGAAGACATTTTTTTGCAGGTTTTGAAGATTTTGGAGCAACTTAAAGCCATTTTAGTTGATTGTTTCGAAGCTTGACGTTTGCTGTTGAAGATTACGCCACTTGAATCCCGGAAGCTACGCCGTTTGAATCCCGGAGGCACACACCATTTGAATCTTGGAGGTTACGCTGTTTGAATCCTGGAGGCACTTAGTAGATAATGTTAGTGAAGAATCAGGGGATTATACAGAGACTTTGTACCTGCATCTTGAGTTATACATACACTGTAAACGAATTTTGTGAATATATACAAAGTTTACTTTTTTGTGTTTACAAAGGCCAATTGATTAAAATGTCAAAACCCCAAAATTAATAATAAGACAAGAGAATATGAGATTACTTAAGAAGTTGGATGGTATCTCACATTTTCCTCCAATAGCTAAAAACGTAATGTGGAGGTTATGTGACATTTCTTGAAAAAATTACATAACCTCAACCAAACATGTGAATCTTATATTCCCAAGCAAATATAACCTTAGTTATCTTATATTGGGGTGTGGGTTAATGAGTTTGACTAATTGATAACATTAGTTGATTGTAGAAAGATGTTTGATAAATTAACTGTTAGTTGATATGCGATAGCTAATTAAGTGCAATATGACTTTCTCAAAAAGTTGATCAAAAAAACTACTTTTTGAATTTTAACATTTTGGAACAATAAGTTGTTACAAAAAAACTAATTAATCAAGCACTTATATTGGTTGTTTAACCAAATCAAACACATAATAGTGGTCAAATAAGTCAAAATTGACTGATAAGCTAACTATGTTACCAAATCAAGCTATTATGATTTTTTATCGATTATGGTCACAAAATAACTTTTATGTAAATTAAAGAGTAAATTTCAATTTTGGTCCGATGACTATGGGAGTCTTGTTAATTATTGTAGTCCACGACTTTTAAAAGTGTTAATTTAGTACATTGACTATGCAATTTGTATCAATTTTGGTGCCAAATTATCGGCCGAATTTCGTCAAAAAATTTTAATAGTTAAAATAATGGAGATATTTTAGTCTTTTTGGATCTCTTTTCTTTCTCCCCTGCAAATTCGTCGGAGAAGGTCACCGGTAATAGTGAATTCAACATAAAATTATTGAATCTAAAATTTTCCCAATTACTCCAACATCAAGATCTGCAGTTTGATGTTGGTTACTGAGAATTAGATGACCTAGTGGCAGTGGCGGCAGCACTAGAGATCAGGAATTATCCCATTCCACACAACGCTAACACCCCCAGAAACAAGGGAAAGAACAAGCAGCAGAAACCAAGGGGAGAGTAGTGCGAGTGATGGCAAGCAGAAGAGAGTGATGCATAGGGACATTAAAAGGCAAAGGAGACAAGACATGGCCAACCTAAATGCTTATCTCCGCGTTCAACTCCCTCTCGAATACCTTAAGTTTCGTTTAATTAATTAACTTAGTTTAATTTTTTGGTTAATTTTTTAAATCCAATAATTTTCTGTTGAATTCACCATTACCGGCGACCTTCTTCGGCAAATTTAAAGGGGATAAAGAAAAGAAATGCAAAAAAGATTAAAATATCTCCATTCTTTTAACTATTAAAATTTTCTGACGAAATTTGGTCGGCAATTTGACCGGAGTGATCAAAATTAATGCAAATTACATAATCAATATACTAAATTAACACTTTTGAAAGTCGTGAACTGCACAGGACTCTTATAGTCACATGACCAAAATTAAAATTTACTCTAAATTAAATGTGTAAAAAGTGAATATAAGAGTACGAAAATAAAACTTCTGTAATATATCAAAAGTTTATTGGTGGAAGAAAAATAATAAAAATTATGATTAATTCTAAAATTATTTAGAGCATATTAGTCCATATAATATAAAGAATATTGTAAAAGTAGAATATATATATAGTATGAGTTAGAATAATATATTTAATATGTATTAGAATAATGAAATTTATAGAAAAATATAATGTAGTTTTTTGACAAAGAGGAGGAGAAAATCCAGGAGGCCTAACTCGTCATTGCGAAGAGATCTCAGAATGTTGTTTGGGGCTTTCTCGAAATGGCTCGCTTCCTCGTCGTGCATGAGAGCTTTCTTCGCTAAGATATCGGCTACTTGATTTTATTCTCTTGGTGCATGGCAGAACAAAATCTCACAATCGTTGTTCCTCGCGTTTCTACAAAGATCCACCAGATTTCGTCACGGTCTTGCGCAAGGTTCATCGCTTGTAATTAGCTTGATGGCCAAAGCGCAATCCGACTCGATCGCCACTCGTCGCATGCATTCCAAGTTCCCAGGCCTTCTGGATGCCATGATGAATTCCCCAATTCAAAGCTCAGCATCCAGTGTTGTACAATTAAGCGCCAACTCTTCTGGAAAAAGTATAGCTAAAACTCGGCATTGTTGTCTCTAATCACTCCATTGCAAGCAACCTGATTGCTTCTTCCTTTAGAGCTCCTGTCCGTGTTAACTTTAACCCAGCCTGCATCCGGGGGCTTCCACGGAAAAATCCTTCTGTTAATGCTCATCTGCCCGCCCCGAGGTCCATTGCTCACCGCTTCTATTTCTTCGTTGAATTGTCTCTCAAGCCACTGTACGCCACTTTTTCGTTCCTCGGTTTCCTGCCAGGTTATCACAAAGCCATTGGTTAAACTCAGCATGTATGTTTGTACCTGTTTGGTTCACGGGAACGATCCTGTTCCAGATGGCTTTCGCTGCAGGGCAGCGTCTTATGGTGTACTCCACATCTTCCTTTGCTGTTCTGTATATCCAGCATCTCTCGTCTGGGGTAAAACCTCTCTTTCTCTCCGAGTTGCACATGATCCTGCCATGTTTGACAAGCCATATGAAATGGCAAATTCTATTAGGGACGCGAAGTTTCCAAACATCCTCCCAGACCCCAGTTCTACTTCTCTCCATCACCACTCTGGTTTGCGGCGATAGAGAAGGTTGTTCTAGTCGTGAACTCATTGGTGTAAACAGGGCCCCATCCCATGGTATCATTTTTATTATCATCATCGAGGATGAGAAAAACATTTTTTTTTTTTTTTGAAGGAAAGAGCATTTTATCACTCAAACGAACGTAGCAATGGAATCAGGCGGGATCGAGTCCTAGTATATAGAGTTATCCTGACTAATAGCTAAAGGTGCTAAAGTATGAGCATGTAAATTTAAAGCTCTAGAAACAAAATGTAACGAGCAATGAGTAAATAGAGACATAGATGTCTTACATTGGTCCGTAACAATCCCAACGTAGGATAAAATAGATGCCGAGCCTGAGGCTATGATAGTTCGTAACTCCGAACAGTCAGTAAGTAGGTCTACCGCCAAAACGCTGATGAGCATATTTTATACCTTAATTTAAATAAGTTTTATTGGTTAATTTTATTATTTATATTTTATATTTCATTATTATTAATATATTTTGTTATATTAGGATTAGATAACTTAGTTAATAAATTTAAAGTGTAATTAAGTTTATTAGTTATTAAATTAAATTATAAGGTGAGTGGGTCCCATTTTTCTTTTATCCCTAATCACACTTTAATTTGTTTTCTTTTTCTTTATTTTATTTGTTTTGCCGTAGGTAGTAAATACTTTAATTTATTTTATTTCTTTCTTCTGTTCTGTTTACGAAACCAAGCTACGAATACACGGGTCAGAATAGTTTTAGGAAGCAACGACGGAGAAGGCGAAAGAGTTTCGGATCAAGCGACTTCGACGGGTCTTCTTTGCGAAATTGTTGAGGAAATTAACTACTTTTTAAATTTGAAGATGAATTTGTTGGAGGAATTAGCTATTGATGTGGTAAGAGCCTGAATTTTAGGGAAGATTGTTAATTTGAAACCCTATAAAAGGAGGGCTATTCTGATGTATTTTGGAAACCAGATTGTTCTTTCAAAATTCTTAATATTTTAGAATAGTTAACGCTATGTCTGGCTAGATTTTCTTAATCTGATTCAAGGATTTGAAGTTTGAGTTGTGAATTTAGGGAGGTTCTATTTCAATTAATTTGTTGGATTCATGTACTTCCTATGCTTTTAGAGTTAATTGTCAAGAAGATTAATGATGAATTAAACTGACCACTTACTTTATTATTGTTTTCCTATTGCTATCTTATGAGTTTATGATCCGTAATTGTCATAGATGATTAAATTGAGTAGTTTGTATTAATTATTTTCTTATGATTAGTACATAAAGGTTAGGAAGACTAAGTTGCAGATTGTAGTATCTCAGTCTGTAATTTAGGCTTAATTATTTTCTATTAAGAGTATTGATGTTATTGGGCAAATATGGAACGCTATTGTCCCCAGTTTATTCAATAATAATTGTTGGTTTGAATGCTTAATTTGAATCAATTAATTTAGGGAGAACAAAGACTAGTTACGGCTATCCTAATTAGTTTTTGGTTAAGTACTTGAATCTAACTTTAATTTTTAAGAGCCGATGATCTCAGTCACATCTTTAAAATTCATTTTCCCTTGAATCAGAATTCAACATCTCTGAACTTGTTATTAATTATTGTTTATTTTATTTATTCTTCTCAAATCCCCCAATTTTCCCTACTTTGAGTCATTTTATTTTAATTAAAGAAACGAAACTCATTATTTCTCTTGGGATTCGACCTGATCTTGCCACTACTACAAATTAGTGGAGTGAGCCAGTATTAAATTTGTAGGGCTTCGACAACACTGCCAAACGCCCCGTGCCATAATCCAAGATAGGGCTTCCTTGCAAGCTAGTGCCTCAGCCATGAGTGGTGAATGAGAAGTTGCAAGATGGTTGTTCGTTGCTGCTAGAAACGCTCCGTCGTGTGAGACTAGGACGGCTCCGTACGTGGCAGTGCCGATTTGGTGATTGAAGCCTGCATTGAAGAAACACCTTGGCCTTGCTTCCAGTCCACCGGGGAGGGATGTCGGCTGCTGCACCGGTTGTCGGGAACAATGGTGGACTTGGCAGTAGGCCTGATAAGTCGTTGCCGCACGTCTCCATGTTTGCTCCGGTCGTGGTAGAGCTCCTTCCCACACTGCCATATTCCGGGCAGCCCACACGTGGTATAGCACAGCGACAACAAGGCCGCATTGTTCCTCTGTTAACATGTCCAAAATTCCAGTAAGCCAGAATGGTAATGAATGTGTAATAACATTCGTGACAGGCAATCCAGAAATAGTCCAAACAATTTTAGAATAATCACAAGATATAAGCGTATGCATGACATCCTCATGAATCAAACCACACATCGGGCATACAGGGTCCACTTCTACCCTCTTCATAAGCAAATTAGTAGTTGTGGGCAAAATATCACACACAGCTCTCCACAAGAAAGTTTTCCATTTGGGCGGCACTTTTAACTTCCACAATGTAATCCATTTACCAAAATTCGTGGGGTTATATTCTATATTTCCAACAACTTGCCTGTATGCCTTCTTTACCGTATAAATTCCTTTTGGATCACTGAACCAATAGCACGAGTCTTCATAATCAGGGCTAACAGGAATTCTAGATATCCGAGTTACATCCTCAGGGACTAATAAATCTGATAAAATATGTGGAACACTCTTGGCCATGAGTGATTTCATCATGTTCGCTATCATCTTGGCCATAATTCTGTAAAGAACATTACTCAATGCAATTGGTCTCATATCTGCTACCGTCTCCGGCACACACTTTTTCGGGATCAAAACCACATCAGTATCATTCAATTTTTCTGGGAAAACACGGGTGTTCAAGCATTTTATCACAAAACTAGATACATCCCCTCCAACAAGATCCCAAAAATGTTGATAAAATCTTGGATTCATTCCATCCGGTCCCGGGGCTTTGTCAGTGAACATTGAGAAAAGCGTAGTTTTAACTTCATCCAACTCAAAGGGACATAAAAGATTTTCATTCTAATCAGGTGATACTCTGGGAATAAAATCAGCAAATAAAGCATCCTCACCCATAGCACTATTCGAGGTAAAAATAGCCGTAAAGTAATTCAAGATAACCCTACTCATAGCATCCCCCTCCACCCACATATCAGATTCATCTTTAATTCTAGCAATAGAATTTTTTGTTCCTACGAGCAGAAGCATACCTGTGATAAAATTTCGTATTGGAATCTGCACCACGTAGCCAGTGCTGCTTTGCTCGTTGCTTCCAGAATGCGTCCTCTTGCGCCTCTAATTGACGAAGTTGTATCTCAATCTGTTGGAACTCGGTCAATGCAACTGGGTCCCTTCTGATTCGTACGTGGTCATACCTCTCCCTCAGCCGTTTAATGCGGTCTCCAAATTTATGAAAGTGGTCACATCCCCACCGCATCAACCTGTCTCCACAATGTTTCTGACAATTCAGCAGCCCCTAAGTCCTCCCATCCTGTCAGGCAGTTTTAACCACCCTACAGCCCTCGTTCAGTAGCCAGGCCATCTCAAACCTGAACCCTCTCGGCCTAGTTCTTAACACGTTAACAATATCAACATTTAGAAATAGAGCTGAGTGATCCAAGTTTCTTGTCAAAATATTCTCCACACTTGCATTCCTATTCATGTCACACCAACCATCTGTTGCCAGAACCTTGTCCAGTCTCTCCTCTATCCAACTATCGGTGCCTTTGCCTTTTTCCTAAGTAAAACGGTAGCCAGACATAGGCAACTGTGTCAGTCCACAATCATCAACAACCTCCCCAAACCCGCGAAGGAGATTATCAGGATGTGGGTTTCCTCCTCTCTTCTCATGCTGATATAACATATCATTAAAATCCCCTACCACTATCCAGGGAAGTTGGGATCTAGTACTCAAAGTGCGCAGTAGATCCCAAGACTCTGTCCTCCTATTTCGGTCTGGTAAGCCATAAAAACACGTCATTCGCCACACTCTGCCATCCGCACCACTAACTTCCACATCCACATGATTTCTAGAGTAACTCAACAAACGAGCCGTATTATTTTTCTTCCAGAGTAGGGAGAGTCTCCCACTCAGACCAACATTGTCAACATAAAATAAGCCGTCAAACCCCAGTGTGACCCGGAAACGTTCTACATGTATCCGCCCCACTTTAGTTTCCATAAAAAACACGAACTCAGGCTTCTTATGGGACGCTAGGTCCATCACTTCTCGAACTGTTCGTGGATTGCCCAAGCCACAACAGTTCCAAGATAGGGTACTCATGAGGACGGGCGGGCCTGGGAACCAGTACCCGCCATGGACAATTTTTTTGAAACCACATCAGATATGATTACACCAGCCCCACTCCCTACCGGAAGCTTATCACTCCCCTCTGGTGCCTCACGACGCCGTTTAGCAACAGCCACGACCGGAACCTCCGACTCACGTCGTGGATCCCGAACTGTCACCACGTCATCATTCAACCTTCTGCCTCCTTCCGTCTCGCCACTCGCACCGTCACCTGGGTTGCCCTTAGCCGGAATCAGCCAGCTTTCCCCTACCGGACGTGGACCCTGTCGCACTCCAGCCCTCATCTCAGCCGAGTAGGGATAACTGTCGGGTGGGAGTGTTGATTCCCTTGCATGCAAACAAAATTTATAAACATGGCCAAGCATGCCGCAGAATAAGCAGAAACTATGCAATCTCTCATACTTAAAGGATACCCAAGTTATAGACTTATCACGCTTCTGAAATTTCATTCGGCGTTTTAAAGGCTTATCAACTGGGATAGCAACATGGATCATGTAGAACGTTTTCCACGGGGCGCCAACATACCTCTCATCCCCTTTAATGAAGGTGCCCAAGTAATTTCCAATATGTTCGAGAATCTTTTCTGATGTGTATCCAAGTGGTAAATCATGTACCTGAATCCACATATCAACTGTATTCAATTCGATAGTCCCCGGTAGTATTCCATCAACAACTTCCTTGCAAACTAGGGTTGCATTCTCAAAGGCCCAAGGACCCTCCTCCAAGACTCACACTATGTCCGTTTTATGGTAGACCACGAACAAGAACAACCTTGATTCAATCTCAGAAACTTGAACTCCCTTCACCGGTTACCAAACCGCAGCTAGGGTTTGACGCATATATTCCACTTTGATCAATTTCTTCGTAATAAGTGTTGAATATTAGGAAAGTTGTCTTAGTTTCCTATTCTTATTAGTAGTTTCCTATTCGTATTAGGACTAATTTAGTATCTAGTTTAGTATATATAGAGGTCCATAGAAGTATAGAAGACACATTAAGAGAGACAATCTATTGTAATCTTTCACTATAATATATTCTCTCCATTATCTTTGTCTTTGGTTCTCACATATTTTTGCTTCCGCCTAACTGGCGGGTGGTGGTTATTCTCCACCCGCCAGACCTATCAATCCCTCAATTTCAACATAGTATCAGAGCCTACTTTCCTAGGCTATTTTTTCTTCACATATTAAAACCCTAATATAAACCTTAGCCTTCCGCCGCCGCTGTCACCACTGGAATTCGCCACCATCGGAGGGTCACTACTGCCGCGGCTGTTTTCTTTGTTCCGTCGCTTGCCTATTGATTTTTCTCCCTAACCAACTCCACCGGCCGACTAGGAACCTCGTTGCGAGCTTCAGAGTGAAATCCGATCGACGTATGTCGCCGCACGCGCCACTACTGCCGCCGAGTTCTGCTATCATTTTCCAGCCAGATCTCTCTGCTCCGATCTCCGTTCAAGACGTCATTGCAACCATTGTATTCGTTTTGAGGAGACGCATCTACCTGTGTTTCCCGATCTTCCGTTGGGGTCGCTGGTCAACTTCGCCGGTCAATGGTCAACGTCAGTCAAACCTCCCTTGAGGCTAAATCTGTTGCCATTTTTGGACTTTTTGGTGAAATTTGAAGGTTCTTTTTTGGATTTGTTGCCAAACTCCTCCCCATGGTGTTTGTGTTTTGGTATAACCGTGTTTGTTTCTTTATCTCCGGTATGCCTTATCCCATGGGGATTCAGTTTCAGCACTATTATAAAGGCCTTTGATTATTTCCCATGTTTCAAGTAAGGGGGAGTGCGACTATCTACAATCGATGTGTTATCCTTTACTATTTTGTCTTCATTACTATGTGTTCTATTGCATCCTTTGTTATTCTTTGCTCCCTTTTTGTCTCTATCGCTCTCTTGTGTTATCGGGAGGTTGTTCATGTTCAACTCTATCCTTGGTGTGTTCATCTTTATTCCCGAGGTTCGTGTTCAATTCCGCCCTCGGTGTGTTCATTCCCAAGATCGTGTTTAGCTTCGTCCTTGGTGTCTTCGTCTTTATTCCCAAGGGTCCTTGGTGTCTTCGTCTTTATTCCCAAGGATTGTGTTCAGCTCCGTTCTTGGTTCCTTTGTGTTCATTCCCAAGGAAGGGTCAGACATAGTGCAATATTCTTTGAAGTCATCTGTCCTAGAGTGCTTATGTTGCTGTGATGGTGTTTGTGTTAGTCTTTACCCTTGGTGCCTCCATTCCCAACGATGTTCATGACAAGCTTCGCCCCTGGTGCCTTCATTCCAAGCGTTGCATTGTCCCTCCGAAGCCATTCAGAATTGTTAACCTCTAGTTGCATTTAATTTTCATTTTTAATTTTGAGTGAGGTAGAGTGTTTGTTATGATCCAAGCTTGGAACTTTCAAATGTTCCAGCTTGAGGGGGAGTGTTGAATATTAGGAAAGTTGTCTTAGTTTCCTATTCTTATTAGTAGTTTCCTATTCCTATTAGGACTACTTTAGTATCTAGTTTAGTATATATAGAGGTCCATAGAAGTATAGAAGACACATTACGAGAGACAATCTATTGTAATCTTTCACTACAATATATTCTCTCCATTATCTTTGTCTTTGGTTCTCACATATTTTTGCTTCCGCTTAACTGGCGGGTGGTGGTTATTCACCACCCGCCAGACCTATCAATCCCTCAATTTCAACAGTAAGAAATCGACCAACCATACGCCAGACCTGTCCGGGAGTAGCCTCCCTTTCTGTCGTCTCCTCCTCCCCTTCCGGAACGAACGAAAACCTTTCCTCCTCCTCTAAAACAATGTCTGCCCACCGTTGAGTTATTGCTTCAACCGTGTCGTTTGTTTCTGTCGTGGTAGCCATGCAGATAACGTCGTCGCAAGACAACTGCCGTATCAGTCGTACGAGATAGCCGGCTAGTTGCCGGAGAAAACCAGATAATAATCGGAGAGAAACCCTAGGAGGTATTTTTATCTAGTCATGGAGTGCTAGGTTTTAGTGTTTGTTGTATGTGGTTTGATTAAATGGATTTGCTAAGAAATTGGGAGAAAAAGAATGGCTCCCCAGTCCCCAGCAACTGACATGACGTACATACGATGTCGCATCACAGGCCGGTGTTGAGGATGAGAAAAGCATTTAGTTGACTCTGTTTATCAGGAAGAGGTGTCAAAACAGGTTGGCCATCCCGTCACGGGCTGTTGGAAAACGGCTCGAACCCGGTCCGACCCGTTTTCCAATATGTTGTGGACCCGTGTCCACTATGCATTGTGGACACGAGTCCAAAACGACGGCATTCCAATTAAAAAAATTTTGATTTTGTCTCACTGTTAACGTCGTTATTCGTTTGTGGACTTATGAATGAACAGTTATGAAATTATGAATGTACAGTTATGCAATTATGAATGTACAGTTATTGAATTATGAATGTACAGTTATGGAATTATGAACATAGAGCTCTGACATTATGAACTTACAATTATGAACATATAGTGATAAAATTATGAACATATAGTGATAAAATTATGAACATAGAGCTCTAAAATTGTGAACATAGAGTTTCGAAAATTATGAATTTACAGTTATTGAATTATGAGTGTACAGTTATTGAATTATGAATGTATAGTTACAG